CCTCTTTTATAATGCATAAAGTTGAAATATTCGTAAATCTAGTCTGTACCATAGTGGTATATTATAAATTAAATATTAACAAACCGATAGCCTTGAGTATTTATAGGTCCCGTTTCCAAATTACCCAAGTCATCCATCTCAATAACTAGCAATTTCAAAGCTGTTTCATCAGTCCATACGATATTTTATGCTCAATAATAAATTAAATAACAACATTTAAACATAATATTAACTATAAATTAATGCATCACAAATGCATACAACTACTAATTCAATATTTTTAATGTTTTTTTTTTTTTTTAATGACAATTTTGCATAAATTCTAAATTGTTTATTAATTTTGTTTCAAGTATTATATCATAAATCTTCACTTACGAATGTTAAATTTTTCGATAAAGAAGGATACAATCAGGGTTGTCTACATTTTCACTATTTTCGTCATTTTTTTATTCAAATTGAATATACTAAAAATGTTTTATGTACGTAAGAAAATTAAATAAAAATCACATAAACTATACTGTACACTGCACTAATAAATTGTTGGTATTTAAGTAGAAAAATGGAATGATTAATAAAATAAAATTAGTCAATAATCAAGACCATGAAAATGACTCTTAATCGTTTCGACGATTAACGTGTTGTCGACCACGATCGAATACGCACACATGCTTACGGTCATTACAAACTACGTGTGTGATGATATTATATATTGTATTTTATAGACTTATGTAAATAATTAAAAAAATATTCATTGTCATATAATAGTATTATGTTTATTTAAATGTATAATGTATATGGTATATAGTTAAAAAAATGTATATATTAATATTAAACTGAATCCATGTTTAGCCGGTGCGCACCAGCCGAGAGCGACCGTTCGGTGAGTGCCCGTGTCGTTCCATGAGTGATCGTGTCATGGCATGTGTTAGAGTTCTTAAGAATTATTTACAAACCATTTACGTATGGCGAAAACTTTGTAGAATGTACATTGTTTGGGGTTAAACTCCATGTGAAAAATACAGCAGGGTAGAGTCACATCACCACCACATGTTTGATCCAATCGAAGAAAACCTAAGTCTTCGATGTTGACGAGTGCGATGTGTGGAATATGTTCCATAAGAAGTTGTTTTTTCTGCTCACCCTTCACGTAAATACAATTGAATATCAATGAATTAAATATCCGACCGACTTCCTCGTACTCGACATCACCATATTCCAGAGATATATAGTTGATGATAATTACTTTTGAGCCATTTATTCGTTTTTCGACTCTTGTTGTCCTGTTTAGAGCTTGAATTCTTATAATCCAGTGTTGACACGCCCACGTTTCCGTGTTCACTACAGGCATTTCTTTTATCATATATTTATTGTCAGCTCCGAGAACGCACTGAATGTCTACGATAGCCGACATTATTTTCGATTAAATTAACTTTTATTCTTAAATATTATAAATATTTTCAATTTTCATCAAACGTTTTTCCAGGACTAAAATAAACGACGCTAGATCCAATAAAGGTTTTCTAATACGACTTTCAGACTCTAATAGAGATTTTGTACTTTGCCGAATATCATCTTCCAACGATTTTACTTGTATAGATCTGTGATATCACCTTTCAGAATACCTGTATCCAACTGCAGTAGCTTTGTATCGTATAGAATCGTTTTGTTACTCGATTGAATGTGTGAAATAGTATTTTTTCTACGCCCATTGAGTGAATTATTGAAAATATCAATAATCTTTTATTTATATTTTTTTATCTTTTATTAATTCTTTATTCATTTGTTCTGCGTTAGTAGGTGACAATATATTAAAATCTGGCACGTCATTTGAGTCATGCGTTGTTCCTAAAACAATAAGCATACAATTTTATAAAAATTAAAGGAGTCAAAATTAAATAAATATCGATAAAAAAGAGCAGCTTTACAATTGTACGTATATATTATATAATAATAAGTTGGCTTGAATGACTTTTGTCGTCAACTGTCATTAAGAAGTCATTTTCTCAAATATTTCAGTAAACAAACAACTATTATACATTATTTATTATTAAGAAATTGTTCGAAAATGTACAAAGAGCACACCATAATAGAAGTAAATATTATATTATAATTTAAAACTGATTTATAACTGAAAAAATAAAATTGTTTGGTATTTTTTAGATGGGTCATTCGGAAATTGTGTTACATCATAATTATTCAATGAAGAAAACTATTATGATACTAATGTTAATTTCATTATGTTCATTAGTAATGTCAACAGCAGCAATATTAAAAAAAACACAAGTAAGTTGATTGTTATATCTTGCACACGACTAAGGGCTGTTTTTACAATTGACACGGTAGCTTTCCACAACCTTTGGCGTATTTCCCGATCCTAGTACGTTTCAACGTGGCTTTCTGCATGATGTATACATGTCTTTACCGATCCTAATCTGATTCAGCGGATAGGCTTCGTAATTTTTATATAAACACTTAAAACAAATATAATATTAAATGTTACATACATTGTTTTATTATCAAGATTTATAGTTATGAATCCAAAAATATTAACAATAAATACATATTTCTGTTTTTATTAATATGTTCGTCACATTATATACATATTACATAGTCATAACTCATAATATAAGTATCAGTAATAATAATATAAGTTAAATATTTTTAATCAGGCTGAATACGTGTTACATACAGCGTTGTAGATTATAAAATGTGTTGTTAAGTTATCTCATAATGTTTCTTTCGACTCAAGCTGATGGTATCAATATTAATAGTTATGGCTGTGTAGGCATAATAAGTAGTATTTTGTATTAAAAGTTTATAACGATTATGATAGCAACTATTATTGTACACAGGGTAACTATCAGAATCGTCTGTAAAATGTACCCAAATAAGATAAAATTGTAAATATCGGTTAATGTGTTCACAACGTTCTATGTGACATAAATACCTATTTAATGTGGTAATTTTAATTTATATATATTGTTAAATGTGGATGCCTAATTATTAGATACTTCATTAAAGTAAAAATGGATGTAAGTCAAATTTTTAAGTTAGATACATCTTGTGTTGTTATAAATGGTGATGTTAAAACTTGTGAACATTTCAGCCTCGCGCTGAATCAGATAAAAATCGTTAAAAGCATGTATACATCATGCAGAAAGGTTTTGGCTTCGCGCCCCGCGCTGAAACGTACTAGGATCAGGAAATAGGTTTTTTACCAGACTTGGTACGCAATTCGTGTGCACCGCAATATCCGGTAAAGTGTCTAATTAATCGGTAGAATTCAGCCAGTTAAGTGATGGTTAAATATTTTTATGATTTTAACTTAACTTTAATTTTTAATATTTTAAAGGAACCTAAATTCACATTAGTCGAGTTAATTAAGGAAATAAAAAAAAATAAACATTACAAATGACCATAGTGAAGAAATTAGAACACGTGATGTATCAAAAATTGGTACTGCAATAGATGCAGCATCATTTTTAGTTGGAATTATGCAAACATATTTGAATAAAAAACAAAAATTAGCACCTGCAAGTGTTATTAATAATTATTATAATAATTATTATAATAATACTGTTAATTATAATAATACTGGTAATTATAATAATATTGGTAATAATACTGGTAATGTTATAATAAAACAATAACTTATGTGACATAAGCAAACAGCGATATATTTCAATATGTGTCTTGCCCCCCACCCCTACAGGCCCGTAATAAGCGTCGCAAGACGCGTGCCCTTTATTTTTTTTCTTATATTGTTTTCGGGTCCCTCATTATTTTAATTCCCCCATTTCCTTTAGTAAATTTTTCAAATTATGTATAATGTATATATACCTATAATAAATACCTACAATAAATGTAATAATCCATTGTATAAATTTATATAAATAAACATTTTGTCATGTTATTTAATTGGTTTTTATTGTATAGCTTATAATATAGTAAAATTAATTTATGAGGCCTGTGGAAATATATAAATATATTTAATTAGATAATTATAGTCATCAGTCACTGATCTGATATCTATATAATATTAAATAAAATACATACCATGTTTGCTCTGTATGTGGTCGGACAGATTACTTCGACGGGTGAAATCTTGTTTGCAATCACCACATGTAAATTTAATTTGTTTATGAGATTTTACATGCCTCAACATAATACACTTCACAATGAAAACTTTGTCACAAACACTGCAATTAAACATTTTTTACTGATAAACTGTAGGTGATAAAAATATATTTCATTCGTACCGACGTTTGTACTTATAGTATTTTTTTTAAAATGTTTCTGTGTCCTATACAATATATTATGTGAATATATAGTATGTATAACTGTATAAGTATTATACTATTACTTAAAAATCTTTATTTTAATAAGCTTTTCAATTCCGAAATCGCAAATATTACATACATCAAAATATCAAACGTGTGTGTGCGGGTGCTACAGACATAAGTAATTACTAATTAGTAGTAAAATATACTATATAATAGTAATAACTTTTATTGCAACAACAGAATAAATAAATACATTATTTCACAAGATATGAGTTTAATATTGCACTATAGCAGCACTCCCTATAAGCAAAGTTATGCGAACTAATAGAATCGACTTTTATTGATTCATAGTATTCTTCACAATTAATAAGAATATATTATTAAAAATTTCTATATTACTAACTAAATAATATCATTATTTTCATATCAATAAACTATCTTATTGGTAGACTGTATACAAAAACGAAATCCTATTCAGTTCTCCAGTAATAAATACTAAAAGTTTACTTGGGTTATGTATTTATGTACGAAGTATATATGTCTGGGGCATAAGTGCATTAAATTACACTTTAAACAATATTTTAGCCAAAAAAAAGCTGAAGGTGCTAAGCATCCCCTGGCACCCCCGTACGTGTGCCAATGCCAACGCTCACTCTCTGGATCTAAGATTGGTTAATACAATATCATTTATAAATAATACAATAATTTAATAATGAATTATATAAATAAACATGATATTTTATTTTTCAACAATTGTGTACACATTAATTAGAATTTGGAATATTTTTAATTGTAACATATACATTTTATTAGAATACATAAAAAAATAGTAAGGATATTGGATATTGTTGGTGTTAGATTTTTTTCTTAGCGCCAAGAACTAAATGAGGTTCCCCTAAAAACAAATTAATAAAAATATTAAATTTATGCATTTTTTATACTTCATAACAGATAAACTACTGTTTATTTTAAATGTATTTTAGTCCCTCTATGATTAAAGCATTAATATAAATATTATTTTATTAATTAAATGTGGTTATTTAACATGTAAAGATGATGAGAAAAAAAGTTATTTACCCAAATGTAGTTCCTTGAGGTTTGAATGGACTTGTTTGTTGTGGTTGACCAAATCCAGGAGTGGTTGGAGAAGCAAAACCAGTGTTTTGGTTTTGTGCTATATTACCAAAACTCGGTGAAGTGTTTTGAGTCGCGAGAGAAGCAAATGCAGTTGATGGTTGTTGAGCAGCTGAACCAAATCCAAAATTTCCCGCTGTAAAAATAATTTATTACAAAAATGATAAAAAGGAAAAACCATAATAAATTAAACTAAAATTAATAAGTATTAATTGATTCAAGTTTTAACAAAACTATTTAGTTTATTTTAATTTGCATTTCGGTAGCTTGGAAAACTAAAACTTAAGATTATAATTAGTTTTTAGTTAAAGAATAACTAAAAACTTTAAAATAGTTGATTTAACACAGTTTAATAGCAATTTTTTACAAATAGGATTGCTATAAAACTCAAGTAATTAATACAATTAATTAATTAATCACCCACTTTAATTACACTATTAATATACATTAATACAGTCATTAATAATATAATTAATTTAAAAAGAACTAATATTTAAAAATATCATAAATTTTACTATTTTTAAAGACATACATTTTAAACAGTGTTTTAATATTCTAAAATGCAAGTTATAAATTTGAAGTTATAGTACCATTTTGTCCAAATGTTGGAGCTGTTGATCCAAAAGTGGCGGCTCCTCCAAACACAGGTGTTTGATTAAAACCAGAAGAGGTAGTTCCTAAAAATAAATTTAAAATAATACTTGAATAATGCAATAAATCAATAAAATATTGAAAAATCAATATTATATACATACCCATACTACCAAACATTGGAGGAGATCCAAAACCTAAATTATTTGATTGACCAACAATAGCAGGACTACCAAATCCAGTACTAGCAGTAGCACCAAATCCTGAATTTTGTACTCCAAAGCCTGTATTAGGTGTACTAAAACATAGAATATTATTATAATGAGGTGTTAATGGGTAAGGGGGTGAAGTGGCCGAGCGGACTAAGGCGGCGGTTGCGTCGCGCACCGTCGCCGGTTTGAATCTCGGTCACGGGCGGCGTCACTCTTCAGGCAGTCACGGTGTCTGGAGAGAGAAGCCGCCGCCCCCCACCCGGGCATGGCAGAAACCTACGGGTGCCCACTAAAAATTCTGCCAAACAGGCGTCCGAACTATAGGCTTTCGGGCCTACTCCCGGACATATACGCCATACGAAAAAAAAAAAAATGGGTAATGTAAATATTTAAATTCAGCTAGTGCATACAATATATAATGTATTGAACTGAATTTTAAGCAAAAATAAAAATTAGCATTTAATAAATGTATCAGTTCTTCTTGCAACTAGTTTATTTACCTTGCTGGTGGTTGACCAAATACAGATTTTTGGCTAGAAAACAGTGATGGTGTACTTGAAGCAGTTTTGTTTACAGCAAAAGGATTAGCAGCAGGGGCAAAACTATTTGCTGGTTGAGATGGACTACATGCCGATTGACCAAAAAGAGACATATTGCCAAATGCTGATCCAGGAGAACTAAATCCTAATGTAGGTTGACCAAATGATGATTGGTTAGCTGCAGCAGCTACTGATCCAAATAACCCACTAGATGCAGCTGTTGTTGAAGGAGACCCAAAAATAGATGATGTACTAGTTGTAACTGGTGCTCCAAAAACAGATGAAGTGTTTGAGGACGGTGAACCAAATATTGAACCAGATGATGTAGGAGCAGCTGGATTACCAAATATTGAAGAACTTGTTGTAGAAGGTGCAGTTGGATTACCAAATATTGAAGAGCTTGTTGTAGCAGGAGCAGTTGGATTACCAAATATTGAAGAACTTGTAGTAGCAGGAGCAGTTGGATTACCAAAAATTGAAGAACTTGTTGTAGCAGGAGCAGCTGGATTACCAAATATTGAAGAACTTGTAGTAGGAGCACCAAAAGTTGTGGTCTGAGCTGTGGATCCAAAAACACTTGTAGTATTTGTTGTTGTAATTGATCCAAACATAGAAGACACAGTAGTTGTAGATGGAGAACCAAATATAGATGAAGTGCTTTTAATTGAGTTTCCAAAGATCGATGATGAGGCTGTAGTAGACGAGGCACCAAAAATTGATGGTGCTATACTTGTATTAGTTGGTGATCCAAATATTGAAGAAACATTGGTTGTGCTTGTAGTTGCACCAAAAATGGAAGAGACAGTTGTGCTTGTAGGAGTACTAAAAATTGAAGGCGCACAAGTTGTATTTGTGGGTGTACTAAAAATTGATGGGGCACTTGTTGTTGTAGGCGTGCTGAAAATTGAAGGAGCACTAGTTTTATTTGTAGGTGTACTGAAAATTGTTGCTTGGCTTGTTGTAGTTGTTGTAGTTGAATTTCCAAAAATGCTTGTAGTGCTAGTTGATTTAATAGATGCACCAAAAATTGAAACATTTGTTGATGGAATTTCAAAAATTTGCGCACTGCTGGCAGTAACTGGAAATTTAGGAGACTCTTCTTTTTCCGGCGTGATTGGTTCAGATATTATTGGAGTTGGACTTTCAGAGACTTGGGGAGTAGATTCAGTAACATTGCTTTCTACAGTTGCCGATACAGTAGAAAAATCAAGTGCAGTTTTGACAGTTCCAAAACTGGATGATACTGTTGGGGAATCTACAGGCTCACTTACTATAGGATTTGTTTTGGGTGGTAATGAAAAATTAAATGAAGCAGTCACCGAAGTAGTTGGTACAGAAATAAATGATTTAGTCTCAGATTCTGAAGATTTTGAAATATTTTCTTTGGGTGTGGTAAAACTAAACGATGAAAATGATACTGTATCTGGTTTTGAATTAAACTTAAATGTGGTTGCTTCTTTTTCTGAAGGCTTTTCTTGGTTATTCTTTGATTTATTTTCAGCATTAAATCCAGAAAAAATACTTGAAGTTTCTGAAGTTTTTGGTGCTTCAAAACTTAATGTAGATATTGGTACGTTATTTAGATTATCCATTTTATTTTTAATAGAATCAGCAAAATTAAAAGTTGATGTGCCATTAGATTTTTGTACAGTTTTTTCTGATTTTGCAGTAGACACATTGGAAAAATTAAATGATAATATTTTTTCTTTTGTTTCTGTTGTTCCTGAAATAACATCTAAAGTAGACTTAGTGGAAACAATATTACTGGAATTACTGAAATTTAAAGGAGTAGCTGTTAATGTTTTTAAACTAAAATCTACAGGATTTTTACTAGAAACAGTAGTACAAGTCACATTATTAGCAAATAATGGAACAGTATTAGCAGTACTAAAAACAATTGGGTCTTTCGTAAAACCCTTGTAATCATTTGGTGCAAGTGGTTTAGGAGTTGATGAATTATCCATTGGATTCCAGACAGTATTTGTTAGCACAGGTTTAGATCCTAATGTAAATCCTGGAGTACAAGGAGCTACAATTGGGGTTACTGGATTTTTTTGCTGTGTGGTTGGTGGTATTAATAAAGGTTTTTGGAATTGTGTCAAATCATGCTGTGATGTTGGTTGTAAATTAATATCTGTGGCGTTTCGTTCACTAATATTATAGTTTTTGTTCAATAATGTAGATGGTTGTGGTAGTGTAGGCACAAAATTATCTTTTGTCACAAAAGGTGTAAAATCAATGTTTTTTTCATGAATTTTGGATTTTGATGCTGATTTTAATGGTGTACTACACATTGGTCTACTGAGATCTATATTTGCATATTGAGATCTAGTTATTTTTGTGCGCCTTGTTTTAAAATCTTTCAACCATTCTTGAAGTTTATTAACTTTAGAATCTGAAAGTGCCCTTTGATTTGCAGACAATACAGAGTATTTTTTAGCAACATTATATGAATTAATAGCAGACACACCGTCTTTGTCTAAAGTAATTTTTAATAATTGTTCTGAAAGTTTTGATAAGCCAACATCACTATGGAATAAATGTATAAAACAAAAATATTATATTATATTGAACAATAAAAAATATTAATTTAAGCATTCACTAACCGAGATTCGTGTAATTTAGAAGTATTTTGCACAACATCAGGTGCTAATGACAATTTTTTAAATGTTCTATACTTCATTTCTTCTACTGTACTATATAGATAATTAATTTTTTCCTTTAGTTTGTTTACTATATTTGTATTTACGACCAATGATTTATAAATAGTTTCCAAACAAGGTATTTTCAATTCTCTAAAATTATAAAATAATAAAATAATAATTGACATTGAAGTTAATAAAAGCCATAACTTACTTATTGTTTGGATTATAACTATCATATCTAGCTTTCAATTGATCGTCAACATGTGTTAATTGAGTTTCAATGTAGTATAATGTACGTTCTATATTGTCAAACAGTGTTTTACTAAAAGGCTCATCACTATCATTCCTCAATAGACATTTAAATCTTAACAGAAAATTAAAAATATTAATCAAATTTAATAAACAATACATTTTTTTTCTTCATTACTTTGGGTTTTTTAAAAAGAATAAACGAGACTTTGAGTCCTCCACCCAAGCAATTGAATCCAACACTGCTTTTTGAAGAGATTTACATTCCACCCACTGTGAGCGATTTGTTTCATTTAATTCTTTGAAAAATGAATCTAATGATGTCCATTTTTTCATAAGTATTTCTTTATCTTTTTCATCACCAATCTAATATGATTGAAAAATAGATGTAATATTTCAATAAATATAATATTATATTAAATATGAAATCATTCTCACCTTAAGTGTACTAGTATTTAATGATAATTTCAAGATATCTTCTAATTGTAATTGAAATATTTGTACATCTTCTAACACTTCTTTTAACATTTCTTGACTTACAGTTTCATCTGTTGAAGTATTGTTATCAGGAAGATTTGTTTGACTTGAAATATTTTGTACAGGTGTAACAGTTTCAGTAGATACTTCAGGAATATTTGGCTTAACTACTGAAATTGTTGGTGTATCTACTAATATAAAATAAATAACAGAATAAATAATTACGATTTATCATACATATAAAATATATAAACATGGAATATTCATAGTAAGAATAAGCTTACATATTTGTGGTTGTTCGACTTCAGAGGTAGTTGACGTTTCTAAATAACTTGCGAGAACCGATTCATTATGATCACCTCTAGCTTTTTCATCACTACATAAAATATTTAAGATTATAGAGAACAAATACAAATTATATAAAATGTTAAATTAAAAATAAACATATTGAATAAGAGAAAATAAAATAATAGTAAAGTTGTTTGCTGTATAATAGTAGGTTTCAAATGTACCCCAACTATATCGATGAATTATTCAATAAAAATTATTTAAATATTTTTATCATAAAAACAAACAATTTATGGTACTATAAATAATTTTTTTTTTTTATCAGTATTACGGTTATTTTCCTATTTATTTTATTAAAATTGCATGTATATAAATAATCATATCTTATATCATAGTTATTGACTTTCAAGTTAACATCAACATATCACAAAACTGTATGAATAAGTTCACAATATAAATTATTAGTTTTTAAATGTTTGTAAAGCATAGACCTTGGTACTTTTAAAAAATTGTACCTTATTTCAATAGCTTTCATTGCAATACCTTTACTTTATTTTTACACATTATCTCATTCTATGTTTCCAGGTCACACTTACCAATAGAATCCCTAAGGACCATAAATTAAGAATCGTTAGTATTAACTATAAATAACTTACACCCTTATAATTAAACTATTTTATTAAATAAATCTTGAAATTAAAACTATATAATTAAATTTACTTACACAACATTAATTTCTTCTCCTTGTTCTACTATTTCAGTCACACTAGTTGGTTCAATTACTAGATTGTTCTAAAAAATAAATAAATAATTAAAATGATTAAGATGAAATAATACTTTATTTCTCAACATTTTTAACTGCTTATAAATAACTAAAACAAAATGTATGCGATAACTTGCAAGGTAATAGTTTTAATACTTAATACAGATTATTTTTGTTTTAATTGTGTATATTTTATTTATTATACAATTTACATAACTAATAAATTACAATAATAAAACTATCAATTTAACAATATTCTTATAAATCACAACATTATAAATAGAGTATGTTAATAGTCAAATATTTATTATATAACTTTTATTTTAATTGTTTTTTATATTTTAAACACATAATATTATATCATAAAAAAAATATATTAAAATAGTAATAGAAAGAGAGTATATGTATGGTGAAAAAAGTACTTTTATTACTAATTAACAAATTGAAAACGAGCAGATCTAAAATAATATAAATAAATAAAACAAGTTGAAATCTATATTTGCTGTATTCATTTTTCTATATGAGAGATAATTAATTAAGAAATTGGTTTGGTTTTGGGGTAAAAAGATTTTGATATGAAAGGAATAAGTTTTAGTCAATAGCTCTCTTGATGAAAAATTTATAATATTAAAGATAAAAGTAGAATAAATTTTATTTGAAAATAGTGGAGATTTCTTAAACATACACTTCATATAAAATAAATTACATTTGTCTAAAATTATTTATTTATGATTTTTGACACATTTGTTAAATATCTAATTTTTTTTTCTTTAAATTAAATAATTAATTAATTGATTTAAGATATTATTTAGATAAAATTAAAATTAAACCCTAAAAAAAAGCGATTTTGTGTGTATGTATTTTGTTGAGTGTAAACAAATAATTTTCTCATTTTTGGAGTAAACTTAATGTCAAAATATTTAGTTAATTTGTAGACTTTAACATATCCATGGATCGTGTAAGAGATGATTAAGATATCACTAGATTCAAAAATAATATTAGTTGTACTAATACCTAGGTAGTCTAAAAATATTTTTTAATTGTATATATTTAAAAAATGGTAAAACATAAAATTATTTAAGTATTTGATAATCATAATATATACTTACTATTTTAGAACTGGTAGTAAATAGCCGAGATATTATTTTATCCGATATTTCTGTTGGTGGTTTACATATATTTTTGGAATCAGCTAACTGATTTTCAATATGATACATAAATAATATACCATCACTTGATAAAACACATAATACTGGCATTGGGTCAAGAAATATTTCTTCATTTGATTTAGATACTATAACAGTTATCATTTTAATAAAATTAAAAATTAAATAACAAAATTATAGTTACATTGTTTTATTTGCATTTGAGAAGAAAGATCTAATGACATTCCAATAGGATACATTTGTTTATCAAGTCTGTATGGTAACTCTGGTCTTGTTTCTAACATCCAACATTGCCAATGATTTTCATTATTTATTCCCATAATACCAATTTCTGTACAATTTGAAGAACCAACAAATAAAAGATTCCTAACAAACAAAAAATAAATTAATAAATAATATTGAATTATAGAACTACATTATACAACATACCAATTTTGTTGAAATATTGTATAATATTGATTTAACCTATACTGTTCAGAATTCATTACAACATATTGTTCAAAATTGATAAATTCCACTGGTGCATTTTTCGGAGTATTGAGAATGTAAAGATCTATACAAAATAAATAAAAATTAAAATGTTTTTATCAAGATAATATATTAACTTACTTTGTTGATTATCTATGTTATCTACAAAATCATAGACGACTGCAAATTGAAAATTTGATATCCATTTTATTTTAATAGGTTTTACATTTCCTGTTACATCAGTTGGAGGTAAATACTGTTTCATAGCTTTGAGTTCAGGTTTGTACTGTGTCAAAGACCCATTTGAACTGCCAATTATTATTTGTTTTCCTTTAGGGCTCCAACTCAAACATCTAAAAAATATATTTAAGTAATTAAATGCATAAGATATACTTAAAACTATAAAAATAATTTACATACAGTGTACTTGATTGTGGCGGTAAACTGACAACACTGTACGTTCCACCATCTTTCAAATCTATAATATGTAAAGAACCGTCAGACAAACAACAGGCCAAAGAATTTTTTACACCAGGATTCCAGGACATATCTATTACATGCGATTCCTGGGTAGCTGCGAGTTCAACCACTACTAATGGAGATGGATAATCCTGAAATTAAGTAGTATTGATTAAGAATATGATAAAAATAATAAAACCTATTATTATATTTTACTTTTGAAATTAAATCTTCAACACTGTAAATAACAATAGAAGTTTTTGAATTCAAAATTCCTGCAACTGCTATATATTCTTCATCACAGCTAAGATCCAAAAAGTTTGGAGAATAATCTAATTCAATTTCACGTCTTAAAAAATCTGTTAATGTATTTTTTTCAACACCAAAATCACCAACTAGTTGACGAACATGTTTCATTGAAATCACTAAACAAAATTTAATATTAAATAAAGTAACAGATCACTAATGCAGAGTTGCATAAATATATTTAATGAAACAATAGTGAATTAATGATTCCTTAAAAATAATTGGTCCATTAAATTTTAGTGAATTAACGTAAGATGCAAATAGGCATTAATATTACAATTAAAAGGAAGTATTTTGATCATTTAAAAATGAAAATTAATTCAAATGAGCAATTATTAAATCAAACCAAAAAAGAAAGGTTTAATCTTTTTAAATAAAAAAAATAATAAAAGTACAAACTGTTTATTAATAGTTATTCTAGTAGTTTAAATCACCTATTAATCATTTAAAAAATTACTGTCTAAAATATCAGTGATAGAATTCAATTTAAATTTGAATGCAAAAAAAGTTTGCAATACATTATAAAAAAATTTTAATTCTCACTTCATAAAGAATAGTTAATCAGGAAGTTTTAATTGAGCTATTTAATAGTACTCTACCATAAATATAATTATAATTAAAGTAAATTATTATACTAGAGTAAAATAATTAAAATACCCAAGTTAAAAACTAAAATCATAAAATGTTGGATTTTAATATTAATCTACATACTACATTCAAATATTATTAATAAGTAATGTTTAAATAATTATAATACTATGAATTGAAAAATTAAAACTTCTAATAATAAATAAACCACAAGATTTAAATTTTAAAATCTCAAGGTATTCAACTAAAATGTTAAATTTAATTTAGATTATTATATAAAAATAAAATATTTATCGTACAACATAGCTGATTGGGAGAAGCAATAAATGTTATCCCAAATCGGTTAGAATTGATGATCATGGCAGCATATTTGTCAAATTGGTGTCCTTCTTTGAAAATCCGAAGATTACAGAATGCCGGACATTTAAAATCCTATAAATAATTATAACAAATAAATAATATAAAAATTGTATTTACATTAAATTATATTATTCATACCAAAACATCAACACATGATCCTTTAACGTGTGTACTCATTTTGGTGTTGCTCTTACGCTCGCTAAACTAAAGAACAAATTGAAATCAAGCTGTTGACATTTCACACAGGTTACGTACTATTGGAAATATTATAAAACACGAGTTGAACAATAAAAAATTAAATTAAAAATAATACTAGACAGTAACACTTATCAATCCAAAAACGCGTTGAACATAGGTAATAGCCAATAGGTATTAAAAATTAAATCTTAACGACAACAACCATCATTCTCACGGCCGGTTATTATCAAGTATCAACATTCAAGATAGGTATTCCAGAATATTTTCAATTTTGTACATCATAAACAAATACTTGGTAGTAGTTATACCACGGTCCGTAACCTAACCGTGAGGTATACTGTATTTAGTTCAGATACATACCATATACCATAAAAAAATACAATACATCGTACTTCAATCGTCATTCGTCGAACCGTTGTCATGGAATAGGGTAATGAAACGCTTAAGCATATGTTACTTTAACTATTTTACCCGCCATTTCAATCCATTTGTTCGTCTTTAATCATTATCCATCAATCATCATCCAGTATCCTACTTCGTTTTGTAATTGTTCACTTTTGACTTAGCGATAAATTAAAACTTCTAATCATTTGATCTATCCTTACGTCAGCTAATTCGCTTATTTTATTGTTATTTTAGCTATACTCGAGTTCGATACAAGTTACCAATACTACTTGTAATTCTATTTTTTTAAATTGTGTTTGAGATTTCAACATGACCACGTTATTGGAACTTTGCCGTAAATATTTCAGCACTGACAATATATATGAAGTGTTGAATACGACCAAGAATGCTACAGACAAAGAAGGTTAGATATCGTGCTCCTATGTTATTATTTTTACAAATTTATAGTTGAACCTACAAAAATGGACAAATATTTATATTTTATCGATTTTTTTAATCATTGTGTTTTAATATAGTTCGTAAAGCGTATTACGTGCTGTCGATGAAATACCATCCTGATAAAGTAACTGAGAAGGAAAAAGCTGAAGCTACTGAAAAATTTAAAATTATCAGTCGAATACATGCATTACTTAATGATGCTGATAAGAGGAAACTTTACGATGACACGGGTAAATTATGGATTATGGCATTTACATTTTAAATTATTTTTAGCTTTAATTGCTTATTAAATTATTCATTTATGATTATAAGTGATAATTGATTTATATTTATATTTGTAATTGTTATAATAAGCGAGTAACTAATTCAATTAATCATAGTTAAGTACAGTGACGTAACTTGGAGTCAATTCTGGGAGGGTAAGCAGTAATAAAACTAAAAGTGCATAAGTAAATCAATAAATAAATAATACTTAATAACTTTTTTTTTTTTTTTTTATTTACATTATAAAACTAATAAAAAGATATAAAACTCAACAGAATTATTATAAATTATATGTATTACAAATTAATTTAGTTTAACACAAGTTGATGACCATGAATGGATGCACCTTCATCAAATTTGTTAATTACTTGATCTATGTTAACTTATCCATCTATTTCAATATTAAGCACTCAAAACGATAAATCTATTATTAATTATTATACAATGCATTATGCTGTTTTATTTTTCTATAATAAAATAAAAATTGAATTATAACTTTTAAAAGGAGGCAAAACTATATTATTGCCCCCTCAATAAAATATTTGGAAGGGCAGTTGCTCCCCTCTTGCCCTCTTCCCCAGATTATGTCTATGGTTAAGTATATTCTCCTAACAAATTTTTTTCCCACTAATGTTCTTCCAATTTTTCAGGTCAAATATTTATTATAAATTATAATATGAACTACTATATGGTTAAAAGAAACATTAATTAGTACCAAAGAATAAGTGTATATGTAATTAGAATACAAAAACATGCAAGAAAAAAATTATGAATTTAGGGAAGTACAATAAATTAACAGAAAAATCATTAAATGTAATTATAAAAAATATGAACCAAATGTAAACAATAATATTGTGACTAGGAAACTTAAATTTTAAGTGATTTCTTAGTCAAATAATGTGTTGCATTAAATAATTATAATTCCTTTAAATTTAAAATGTCACCTATTATGTCTCAATATATTTTTATAATAGATGAACAATTGTTCCACATTAATTGTTTTAATTGGTGCATATTAAAGCATGTTATATATGAAAGCTACAATTTTCATAATTTTATAACTGGATTAAAAAATAAATAAAGCCTAAATTTTTTCTATAATAGTTTACTTTTTTTTTACGATACTTCCTATTTGTCCATTAACAAGTTCATTTTTCTATTATTCAACAATTTACATTCTATCAATTATGAACATATTTTTACTTTTTAATGTTGTTATTATGTGTATTAAACTAAAATTCAGTTAGATAAAAATTAAATAATTTTGCATAGTATTTTCACTCTTTCCAATCGCTATAGTATAAAAGTTTCCTATATTTAATTTTAGATTATAATGTCTTATATTTTTATTAAGTGCTTATTATAAAAACAAGCAGCTAATATTTATGTGCTCCACCTTTTAATTATTGATTTGGGTGGTGGAGTAAGATTAAAATACATTTCTCAAAAAGCATTTTGTTTTTGTAGGATGTGTTGGTGATGATATTGACCCCAACTCAGCTACAGAGGACTTCCCGTGGGAAACTTATTGGAGGTCGATATTCAGAAAGATTACTGATAATGATATCAGGGATTACGAATTAAAATATAAAGGTATATTATTTAAAATTTTAGTTATAATTATTTTGTTTTTTTAAATATCATTAAATTTGTTTTAGGTTCTGACGATGAAAAGAGAGATCTTAAAAAAGGATATCTAGCAGGGAAAGGAGATATGGAATTCATTATTAATATGGTTCCATTTAGTTCTGTGTACGAAGAAGATCGGCTCCGAGAGATTCTAGAAAAAATAATTGAAGAAGAAGATTTACCAAAATTTAAAGCATTTAGCGATGAACCTCCGTCAAAAAAAAGAAAAAGATTAGCAAAAGTAAGTTACCTCCTTATCTATGTTTAAATTTATTTTTTCTAGTTTGGATATATTAAATTTAATTTTAGGCTAAAAGGGAAGAAGCTCAGTGCAAAATAGATATGAAAAACGAGGAAGAAAATAATTGTAATGATTTAATGGTTGCAATTAAAAAGCGATCAGCCGAACGAGAAAAACAAATGGACAATTTCTTAGCTAGAATGGAAGCTAAATATTGTACACCCAAAAAAGCTAAGAAAAATGTCAAAAAAACATAGTAATATTGTAAATTTTCTTTTATATTATTTTCTGTATAATGTATATATAATTGCTCGCAAAATATCTCATAATATTCATTATTAGACCTATGAAATATTTGTGAAAAATTGAAAACACAATTTTTTTAATAATATTAATATTGTAAATACTAGTATTAAGTGACTGAAACTTTTAAATTATAAATTATAATTATGATTCTGATATATTTTTAAATCATTTCTAATTCATTGTATCACAACCAAAGCACCAAAAAAAAAAAAAAATACAAATGTTTTCTCAAAAACCATAAAAATTACAAATTATAGTAAGAAATTCATAAAAATTATTTCTTTATTCAAGATTTTAAATTAAATATAAGATTCTTTATGCTTTTCAATCTTTACCGGGGTGTCAACAATGAGTGTCCTCCTCTCTTCTGTTATACTCTTATACTTACTTTAATATCATTATTATTTTATTTGCTTATTGTATAGAATTTTTAAACACTGATTGTAAATAAACCTTTTAAAAATGAAAAAAAAAAAACAATTTGCAACCTACAAAAAAAAAAATGAACTGGAAAGTAAGATTAATCTTTTTATAACTAATTTTTGTAATAAACTTTCAAGAATGTTGTTACAGAAAAATCTTTTTAACATTTAAAAAAGAACCAAATTTTTTTTGTGTATAAATAGCTCAAAAAGTCAAAATATTCCATGTACCGATATAGAAATATATAATGAAAGTTGAAAAATCAACAATTATTAAACGTTTCTTAGTTAAAATAAAAAACAAAAATGTTTGTTAAGTATTTGGGATATAAGTGAATGTCCTGTCATAAAAATTTGAACACACAAAAAAATGTCCGTTTTTTTTTAAATGTTTAAAAGATTTTTCTGTAACAACATTCTTGAAACTTTATTACAAGATCGCACTTAAGTTATATTTGTAACTGAATAAAAATTATTAGAATACATAGGCACAATTTAATAATCGATCTATATAATGAAATGACATAATTGTTTTATTTCGATTTTTGAACCATTCGTTATGTTTTAGTGTATGATATTTTAACTTACTCATGACACCAAATTGTTAATTTTGTAATGATTTATATAATCGATATATTAAGTACGATAAAAAATAGGTACAACTTTTTTCATGAACAATTTTTAATTTTATTAATTTTTTTTAACAAACATTTTTTGAAAAAATTCAAAATGAATACATAATAAAAATAAATGTATTTACACCAATAAATAATGGTTATTAAAAAAGAAAAAAGAATATAAAATGTAGTTCAGACAGCATAATAGATTTTAGAATAATGAAATAGGTTATTGAAAAAAAAATATAGCATTTTATTAGTCTGGCTGAACGTGTAACAAAATTTAAACAAAACAAAATACATGTCAATAAAAATAAATAATAAACTGACTTTAGAAAAAGAAAAAAATAACATCGAACAAGATTACAAACAAATAAAGGAAAAGGGGGGAATAGGTACATCGGAAGGATGACACAATAAACCAGGATGGAGGGAGATACAAAATAGCGAAATGGGTGCAAAGTGCTTAAACAGGAAGTAAAGTATAGGCCACTGGTCACCCTCAGCAACGTTTTCACGGACTGTCCCGCTGGCGTCGACGAGTGTCGCTAACTCATTTGCTCAGCAGCGCGACGTGACAACCATGTCGGCAGACGATGTCCGATGGCTTCAGCCGCGGGAGCGACGGTCGACTGGCGACTGCAGCGAGCGGCTAGTGCGCGATGTTGTGTGCAGACGAAACGACTATGACGTTGAACAGCGGAACCAAAATGCACTGGGGAAGCGGCGAGATATTATGATGCCGTGGAATCGGCGAGACAACCGGAAGGCACGACTCGGCTGACGGAATCGCCGAGGGACGAAAAAGAGAGTCCAGCGCGTACTCTCCGTAGATTTCGTCTCGACGTCCGGTCGGCAGCCGAGTCTGTCGCATCTGATGACAGCCGGAGTCGCGCGCCGCCTGATCCTACAGGAACATCAAGTTCCCGCGAATCCTGCAGCGGCGCTGACGTCCGCATTACTCATATCGTCCACTCACCACGTGCAAGTCTCCGCCGCTGTCGTCACGAGTCGCCATCGTCGCGTCGTCGGTACCTACTGCGGCCGAGATGGAATCGCGCGGCCTGCGCCGATACTGCAACTAACTGCTGTGTCGCCGTCGTCATCCATTGCTCCGTGCGACCAAAGAAACCGGACGTCCACCAAGCCGCCAGAGGGTCGATCGCGCAGACTACCTAACATTCAACGCCTGCGAACCCGTCGCGCCGCGAGTGTCCGGAAAACGTGCTTGTGGGTGGCTTACCCACATCTCGTATCGCCCATATTCTATCGCCGCCGTCGTCCTGTCCGATGTTTTTGGTCAAATGAGGGAGGAGTGAGTTGGGGGACTGCGGACGCTAGTCGTATCTGGTGCAACATGCACACCGAAAAATCTGCTTAACGCTCCTCCAAGCCGCTGCCAATCGCCGACGGCAAGTGACGGATTTCGGTATGGTGACACCCGGTTTAAGCCAGCCGACCAGTTCCCCAAACGAATTCCGTACCTCCAGTTCTTTGGCCAGCTCCAAGTCTCGACACCGACTGCGCAATGATTTCCACCGATAGCGCTTCTCCGTTGGGCAACGGATTCTCGTCGCTGCACACAAGCGTTAACAAGTCTTCGAAGATTTCTTCCATGGATTCCTCGGTTGCAGTAGTATTATAAATATGTTAGCTATGAGGTGTTCAATAATTAGCTTACAAACTGCATCGATATCATTGGTAAATTCGGCCATGGTAAGTAATTGTTAAGTTACTATTGAAAATATGATGTGCGTGGGGAGATGGTAGAGTTTTGTTTGGACTCAGAATCGTTAATGAATTAGAATATTGTCCGACTACAAGAGGATCGAAAATCTCCCTATCGAAAATACAGAATTGTTTATTACTAGACAGCAACCAATATGTTCATTGTACTAGTCGGCTTTCGGACCCGTTTGGCCGTTTATCTTTCTAAAGACCATTATTGTTAATTATATAATATTAAATATATAATAATATTTTAACGAAAGATTTGACTTTTGTATAGTACCCTTTTTATACTTTTAGGTAATTCTTTTTTGAAATTTAGTATTATATCTCTTTTGATTTAATTCCATCAAATTTCCATATATTGACACATTTTTTAATTGAAAAAGTTTTTATTCAATTATTTTATAATACAATGACCATCAATAATTATACATGTGTTACTGTCGTTAGCATATTATTGTTTTGTAATATTATAATATGTATAATATTATATTATGACCATTACGGTCCCGGTCAAAACCATTTTTCTTCACATATTAAAAATGTATTATATGATGACTGACAATAACTGCAGTTGATAACTATTGCACATGGAAAAGGATAAATCGGTATAATTGATTTGAAAGCAACACCTAAATATCTAATGTTGGTAAGTGGTAGGGTAAACAGACAAATTTGCTTATAACGATCTTCAAGGGACCTAGAGAATCTGATCATTATAATAACCAATTTTCTTTTTTTCCGGATTATAAAAAGAAACTACACATAAGGCATAAAAACAACCAAATACATAATTGCTTGGAATCATTTTGCCAGGAATATTGTTATATGCGGCATGGTATAATAAGCGAATTCAACTGTAATATCACGGTAAGTAAACATTTATTATTATTTAAATTAATAAATATGCTAATATTGCTAATACACAAAAATAAATAAAATTCGCGGGATCTCATTGTCTTAGCTCGTCATTGCTGGTTATAATTAGTTTAAGTAGACACTAGGTACCCGTTAAGTCTTAGTCATATAAGCATAATAGATATAAAAATATATTATACCTATAGAACTGTTAGATTTTTGGGATTTTCACATATTATATTTTCATACGTTTAGAATATTTAAAAATACATTATAATATTGACTGATTCAAGTTAAAATTAATATAATCCTGAATATCTGTATGCTCTGTGACTTCGCAGGCAGCACGTGGCTTGTGAGATACATCAGATATATCATATATGTATTATAATCAGGAACATAACTAAAAAGAGGTATGGGTGGGCTCGTCCCACCCTAAATTCACTTTGGCCTTGGATCAGCCCACCCATTTATTTCCCCTTTACTATTTTCAAAAGAAAAAGTTAACTTAACGAATACAATTTTCAAGTATGATATTATTATATTTTTAAAATGTTAATTGCTTTTACGAAAATTAAACAGACAACAGTTGACTGAAATTTTACTTAAACTTACCAACTAACTAAGAATAGTCATTTTTTTTAGTATAAATTGGCCAATAATTATTGACTAATCCTAAGAATATTTTCTAGCTACGTGTTAGATTTTTATATAATATTGTTATTAACTTTTAACCTTTTAAGTCAACGTTGATGTAGTGGTGTACTATGCTTAGAAAATAATAATAAACATAATTTTTTCGAAATTTTAACTTTAAATGCCTATAAAATCCAAATCATAAAATTGATCTTACACGGTATAGATATGTGTAAATATAAAACAGTTACAATAAAAACATTTTTTTTAAATAAACTATAATTATTAATACGAAGATAATAAATATTGATAATAATAGGTGATTTATTAAATACTTAATTATTAATAAATAATTAGCATATAATGTACAAACGGCGAGTTAAATACCAATGTACCACCATGTAGTGGGTGTAATAAATGAAATTAGATAATATATTTTGTGAATTAAAATTATAATCAGCACCTACTTAAATGTGTAAAAGCAGATAATATAATGAGCATTTAAGTAGAAATTTAGTATTCTGGTTAATCAAAAGGCGTCTGTTAATACATATTACAAAATATATGTTATTATTATCGGTATAAATATTAATTTTAATGTACAATTAGGTATAATAGCTAATATTTATTTATTTTTTTTATTATTATACTATCATAATATTGAATCATTGACTTTACTATTATCCTACTAGCAGGTTGTTGTTGCGGTGACGGGGTGCGTATCGACTATCG